TCGGCACGGCTCGGCTCGGCACGGCTCGGCTCGGCTCGGCACGGCTCGGCTCGGCACGGCCCGCCGCAGCCGCGGAGCAGCAGCGCTCTGTTGCCATCCAGTGGCAAATGCATCGCCCCGCGGAGGGGAAGGGAGAGGGAAAAGGAATTGTCTGTTTTTCATCTTTCCTGTCTCTGTGCTGTGACTGATCAGGCAAGATTGGCTCTTGTTCACTCACAGCGCGAATGAAATGTCTGAGCAAGAAAACTTTCAAATAAAGCACTTTACGCTATGATTTTTGAAATAATTTGAATGAAATTCTTTCCCTCAGACAAAGCTTTAGCAAGAATGACATGAAAAATGTAATTTCTCCTTACCAGGCTGTCAGCCCTTCATCTTCATTGACACTGTCATCCAATAACACTGCTGTCATCACAAAAACAATCACCAGAACGCTGCCTCCAAAGCAGAAAATGCGCTTTGTCAATGTTAGGTCTCAACATCTGCAAAGTATCAACAAACAATCCAAAAGCATAAAAGATCTGGAGATCCAGCTGCTGCAAGGGGAGTGTGCAGAACAAAATCTGCTGGGGTGCCTGAGGAGAGGTAAAAATCCACTGCTATTCTTAATCTCAAACTGTGCTGGTAAACAGTTACAGTGAAAAGAGTTTATTGATAGGTGAGTTAAACCCAAAATATTTATCTGTCCATTTCTCACTAAAACAGATAATTTACACAACATTTAATAGCAGTAAGCTGTCCTGTGTGGAGGAGTTTGGGTCAGAATCCACAGCTCTTCTGGTTTAGACTCGAGACCTCCACTGAGGATGTGAGCTGGCACTTTGCAGTTCTCTGTGCCATTCCTGCACTTTGTGTTTGTACCCCAACATCAGACTGCCCTTGGCATTGTCCTGTGCCAATTCTTTGCTCTGCCAGCAGCACCTCTGAGCGCCGTGCCAGCAGCAAACCCTGCGGGAGGAGCAGCTCCCATCCCAAAGGAATTGTTTCCATTCCCAAAGGAACAGATCCCATTCCCAAAGGAACAGATCCCATTCCCAAAGGAGCAGCTTCCCAGCTCCCATTCCCAAAGGGCCCAGCTCGTGTCCCACCTGGCCCAGCTGCAGCAGCGGCCAGAGCAGCACCCGGAGCTTTGGGGCAGACACGGGGTGACTGCAGGAATGCAGGAATGCAGGACTGCAGGACTGCAGCTCCACTGCTGCTGCCAGAGACTGGGGCAGACACAGAGTGACTGCAGGAGTACAGGAGTACAGGAGTGCAGGAGTGCAGCTCCTGCTGCTCTGGAGCACAGGGTCACCGGGGCAGGCACACAGTGACTGCAGGAGTGCAGGAGTGCAGGAGTGCAGGAGTGCAGGAGTGCTGGGTCACCAGGGCAGGCACACAGCGACTGCAGGAGTGCAGGAGTGCAGGAGTGCAGGAATGCAGGAGTGCAGGAGTGCAGCTCCTGCTGCTCTGGAGCACAGGGTCACCGGGGCAGGCACACAGTGACTGCAGGGTTGCAGCTCCACGGCTGCAGCAGGGCAGAGCCCTGCTCAGGCAGAGTTGCTGTGGCACAGCCATGGCACAGTCACCCAGTGCCAGGGCAGCAGCGCAGGCTCCCCGTGTGCCGGGGGCAGCTGCTGGCACAGCTCCGCAGGAGCTGCAGGGCTGCAGACAGCTCTCCTGCATCCCTGGGCAGGCCTGGCAGGGCGCAGGGCTCATCCCGTTTGCTTTGCTGCAACAAACCCTGCAGCTCTGGCTGCTCATCCGGAGGGGAGCACAGCCCAGCTCTTGGGACATACTGTCAGTAATGGTTCCATGGCATTGCTCCGTGCTCATGGAAAGAACGTGGCGTTCATTACAGCCTGTGAAAAGTGTCACAGTTTAAATGGTATTTCATAGAGCCCTTATCATCCACAGAAAGGTGTTTTTGCTCTCCCTCCTTCTCCAAAGAGTGTCTGTCAGAAGGGAGGGTCATTCCTTGGCGATTCTTATCCTGGAGGATTCCATGGCACACAGAGCTGTAATTCCTTTTCTTCTCTCGGCAAAACTGTTAGATATGTTATGTATATTCTTACATGCCAGTAGCCATCAACAGCACAACTGCAGCCAGGAAAAATTATTATCAAGCTATATACTTAATGCTGGTATTTGGCCACACAAACTACCAAAATAATAATAATATGTTTGTGATAAATCTAACAGTTCCAGTAAAATGTCAGTTCTCATCTGCTGTGGCATAACAAGTTGCATATGTCAAATTTTTATGACTCAAATTGCTAAACATGTTCTTGAGATAAAGAATATGTTTTAAAACCTTCATAGCAGTGAGTCTGTAGTTGTAGTTTAAAAAACTACTTGCTATTTTCCTTTCTTTCAGAGTGACTTAATGAAATGTATTCATATAATTTTGCATATTTTTAAAAGAAGGCTTTCCGAAAGTTTATTATAATTTACATCTTTTATCCATGTATGTAGCCACACCCCCCATTGCAGATATTAATGTTTGAAACCCACCCATGACAAGGGATGAGCAGAGCTGGTTTGGCTCAGTCTGACACCTCAACAACACCATTTTACAGCCATCTGACAGACTTTCAAGTATCAGGTTGGCCTGGCAAACTTTTGTTTTGTTTGTGCAAATGCACACAAGGAACAGCCACCTTCCTCCAACCTCCAGCCTGGGCATGCCAGATCTCCAGTGTGCCAGCTGGAATGTTCTGGTGCTGCTCACGTCACGAGCTGCAGATCTGTGCTGCTGCTGGAGCACAGTGTGCTCAGTGCTGATGCAGTCAGAAGGAACATTGCAGTTTGAAGCTTCCATGTGGCTCAGCTGAGGGGGAAAATCTGACTAGCAAAAATTAGACTCAAAAAAAAAAAAAAAAAAAATCAAAAAAAAAAAAAAAAAAAGCCATTTATACCACAAAGTGGTTATAAAAGTAAGAGTGCTTTGCCTGATATCAGAGCCATAATCTAATCTGGGAATGAACATATGAACCTGGCTAGGAACAGCTTTTCCCTCAGAAAATGCCAGAGTTTGGTTGTTCTGCTGCAGTCATGAGTGATCTCAGGGAAGGTCATTGGGGGCTGAGATTTGCACAACAGAGGGGTCTTGGGGACCCTATTTTTAGATTTTGGACTTCTCATTCAGAAAGTTCTAGTCTTTCTAGATGGTGCCAGCACAGCTCTTCAGGGAAGAAAGCCAGATTGTCTGAAAACCTTCTCCTCATCTTTCTCCTTGCCATGGCACGTCCCCAGGGCTCAGAGCTGGATGTCTCACTCAGACAAAGAGGAACAGCTTTTCCAACAGCAGCCAGGGCTTTGCAGGGTGCTGTGACCACACTGTGATTTAATCCCAGGCCTCTGAGGAGAAATGTGCCTCATGCACGGGGCAGTGGTGGTTCTGCAAGCGCTGGGGCTCAGACAGATGGGTGGCTGGGAGCTGCTGCAGCCAGAAATCCAGACAAGGAGAGATTCCCCAGCTGCTCAGCAAACATCAGGGTTCACGCTGAGCAGGAGCTGGGAATCCAGATGACACAAACCTTGAGAGAGAGATCACCTGAGAACTCCCTCTGCCATGGCTCCCAATTCCTTGCCATCAGGTGTTGGCAGGTCCTGGAGAGCAGGAACTCCCCATGCGCTCCAACGTCAGGAGGAGCCATTAGGCTTGAGGGGAAATCTGCCTTCTTTTGTTAGTGCCAAACTTTCCCCAAAAATCTCCTGCTCTTCCTCGTTATGTCTGTGGGTAAAACCATGGGAGGAAGGCTGGTATCTGAAAAGGAGTTGCAGAAAAGACATTATTGAATTGAGGGGTGTATTTCTCTAGATACTTTAGCAGAATTCAATAAAATAGTGCCTTGAGAGTGCAATATTTCCTTCCCTGTAAAATACTAAAAGGAAAATAGTGAGATACCACTCAATAGAATTCAGATGTGTTCCTGATGATTTAACCTTCATCAGCCTGGGGAATTTAGTTACGTTGTAGTGAATGCACTCCCAAAGTGATCAGATTCTGTCACTCGGATCATCTCTGCTCAGGAGAAACTAGGAGCAAAAAACAATGAGAAAACGACCGAAGCTGGGTTTTTAAAATTTGATTGATTGAAAACGTTTCCCTGTATCCCCTTACAGCGTCGCCCTCTGCCTGCCGGGGAGATGTTGCCGCACCCGAGGAGTTTCGTGGGAACGCGCTGCCCCCGCTCGCTGGGGCGGAGGAGCGGCGGGGCGGCCGGGATGCTCCGGGTAATCCGCCTTAATCCCGCTCTGCAGGGCGCTCCCGCCGTCATCGGGGGCCGGGCGGCGCACCAAGCCCGGGCTCGCGGCTGCATTCACTGCGGCGCCGGCAGGCCGCGGCTGCCCCGGCCCGCGGCCCCCGCGCCAGCGCAGCTCCGCGGCTCGGCCGCGCCGCTCCGCGCCCCTCGGGCGGCGCATCCGCGGGCCCGGGCCATGTGAGCGCCCGGGGCTCCGGGAAAGCCATCTTGGGCGGCTGCGAGCGCCTCATAGGCTCCCGGGCGGCCGCGAAGGGATGATGCTCGCTCGGCTCCCCGCCTGCCCGCCCGTCAGGCGCCCGTGAGCGCCGGCCCCGAGCGCCGCCGGAGCTGCGGCTGCTGCCGGCCCCGGATCCCCGAGCTGCGGCTGCTGCCGGCCCCGGACCCCCGAGCTGCGGCTGCTGCCGACACCCGGAGCTCCGATCCCCGGAGCTGCTGCCGGCCCCGCTCGGCTCCCGCATGAGCCCGCTGGCCCCCGGCACCGCCTGAGCGCAGGTACGCGGGGATCGCTCCTCTCTCTGCGGGGCCGCAGGGGATGGAATGGGATGGGGATGGAATGTGGATGGCATGGGGAAAGGGAAGGGAATGGGGATGGGGATGCGTATGCTGGGGGAAAGTCCCCTTCCGGCGTCGGTAACTCTTATCGCAGGCAGGCAAACTTTATTATTCTGCAGCAATTCGGTGATGCCCTTCACTGCATCTTCCCTTCTAGGTGCTGCTGTGAATAATAAAATGTGCATCGTGCACGAGCACTAGGTAAAGGGATTAAACTCTTGCTAGATTATTCCATCCTCCCTGCGACTGATGTTTAATCTGATGTCATTTCCCAGTCGCTTTTAGGGTTTCCAGTAAAAGAAAAGCCATTTTGGCAGGTTTGATGGCTGTGTTTCTGCTCCGTGTTGGTGTCTGTGGCGAAGTTGGTGGTGGCAGTGGCTGTGGCTGTCGCTGCCCCCAGCCCCAGGCACGGCGCATCTCCCCGGAATGTGTTTGCTTTGCAAATGTGGATTGTCGTGTCACGGCAAAGTCATCCCCGGCTGCTGCTCCACAGAGCCGCTGCCCGTGCGAGTGCGGGGCGTTTGTCTGGCACCTAAAGCTAGATCGGAGCAATTCCGGTAAATACCTCATCCTTTTTCACCGAACGGCGAGATTTGCGGGCAGATACAGACAGCTACATGGGCACTACAGACAGCGGGGCTGGGGGATGTCTGCTCTGCAGACGATCGCGTAGAGCAGAATAACACCGGCTATGATGGCAAATTCCCATAAATAGCAGTGAATTGGCCCGGAGCAGCGTGCTGTGCTGGGTCCGGGGGTCCTGCGGGGTGCTCAGTAACCTCTCCCACGCTGCTGGCGCTGGGCACGGGGGTGTGTCCTTCCCAGGGATGTGATGGTCGACATTACAGCTGTACATGGGCTTAGTGCAGCTGTGCTGAGGAGGCTCAGCGCACATGAAAGCCTCGGGTTTGCTTTTGTAAGCTACTGCTGCTGGGTTTTTAGTGGTAAAACACTGCCTGGGCTGTTTTGTCCAGGGCAGGCACCGATGCAGGGTTTGTATACAAAATATCTCGGCAGAATAACTTATTAGCGAGTCTTGACACTGCATCTGCTAAATTCAGAACCTGCTTATTAAGGGATTGGATATAATTTGAAGAAATACCTGAATTCAAAGGCACTGGTTGCAACATTAAGAATTGCACCAAGTATTCTGTGCCAGGGGAAGAACACCATGATTGTTATCATCCAGATAAAAATAAGGACTATTGCTTGGCAAAAGATAGAAGAGCTGCCTTAAGGAAACAGCATGAAATACTGAAACAGAGACCAAGCAGCAGAGAGGAAGATACAGCATCGCCTTAAAGCCAATATGATAAAAAATAGCAGTATATGGCTCTGATATGAAAGTTGCTGTTTTCACTTTGTATTTTGGTGTTTTTGATCGGGAGGTGTTATATTTTTATTAGAGGAGGGCTTTCAAGTCTGTCCAGCTGACAAATGAAGAAGGTAATTCGGATCAAATATTACAGATGTCAGCCAGGATTCACCACTGCAGACAGCTTTTGAAACACATTTGTGCTGCTTCTATTACCTTAAAGGAGTTTTGGGTTTTTTTAGGTGCCTCTTTGTTGTTCCTTTTTGATCTGATGGTCCTGGTCAGTGAATTTTTGCAGACTGTTTCCTTTTAAAAAGGGAAAAGACCGACTCTAAATGGAGCCAGCCAAGAGGCCATGCTGTGTGCAGGCTGGAGAGCAGCTCTGATTTTCCCTGCTTACATACCTGAATGGGTTCCAGCCTGCTGAAATGCAGCATGACTGCACGCTACAGGCAGTGAACAGAGGGGCTCTGCTATTGCATCCACCTTGATGAATTTGCCTCGACCTGGAGCACCTTTTTGAGGCAGGCAGCACGTTGAAATTTCTAGAATTAAAACCAAGTTACAGCTCTAAAACAGCACGTGGGTTTTAGGGGTAGGAAAAGTGAGATGGAACAAAATATGGGGCAGGGCAGTGCCAGAGATTTCTGCATGAAAATGGTCTGAATAACTGCTAAGTGCTGCTGGAGCTCACTGCCAGCTGCAAGCTCAGAAATCTGAAGCATCTCTCTGTGGATGTGACCAGTCCTGCCTGTACAAGCTGTGGATGCACTTCTGCATCTGCCCAGAGTGCACAGGTGTGTCTCTGGTTTAGATACCTTTAGGTGTGTGTAACCCCTGCCCTTTGGAGAGCTGTGTGATCCTGAGCCTTAAATCAATGTACCAGCACAACAGGGCTCTTACAAAACCTTTCTGGGCTGCCACAAGAGAAAGAGAAGCCTGTCATCACTGATAATTAACATCCTCAGGTATTAGGGGGCTCCTTTTCGTGTGTCAAGTGCCCCACCACAGACCCAAATTAAATATCCAAACTCTCGCTGACTTTACTCTGGAGTGAGGAAGCAGTTGGCCAAGTCCTGTCCTTTCAATATTCATGTGGAATGGAGCGTGGTTTGACAGTCAAGGCTGTTTGTCATTTCACTGAGACTGTTTCAGGCCCTCAGCACTGCTACGGAATATGTCACACTAGCTGCAATATCTGTTAGTCACGACTTTTTTCCTGGGACTTATTTTTGGGTTATTATTCAGCAAAAGGTTCTGACTTAAGTGGAATTTTGTGGAAATCCTTTGTTTCCCCCTTCCATAGCCTGTATATCCTATTCTGGTCGAATGTCAAGCTGTGTAGTTCCTCTCTGGTGCTGGAAAGTCTCTGTGCATAGGGCCAAGGAACTGAAAGCTGTTTCAGATTTCCTGGAAAACCCCTGGTGCCATTGGTGGTTACCTGTCTGACTGCTGATGTTCTGTGTAAGATGCCTGTCCAGCACAGATGGGGATTGTCAGAGTGCTGCTGACAGCAGCATTTCCTCTGCTAGAACAGCATTGCTGCTCGAATTGACAAATGCATCCCAATATTGTGAATAAAAAGGGAACTGGAATGTAGCCACAGTGCTGGGAAAATGCAGCTTCCCCCTGCCAAGGTGCCACGAGCCAGTCTGTGCTCAGGGGTGGGGGAGAGGCTCGGGGAGCAGCAGCTGGGGCTGCAGCTGGGAGGGCACTGAGCTTTCTCTGCACCCATCCTGGTAAATGGGTGTGCAGCCCTGTTCAGCCTGCAGGTGATGGCTGCAAAGCCCCTGTGGCTGGGGTTTTGGGGAGGAGATGAGAGTGCTCCAAGGGCTCGAGGCTCCTCGCTTTGGCTGGTGCTCGTGGTGCTTGATCAGGAAACAGAGTGGGGCTTCCAGCTCTGCCACAGATCCTTGACTGGCCCTGAGCAAAGCATTCAGCATCTCCTGGGCTCTGCTCTCCTTCTGTAAATGGGAATAATAATGAACTCTTTCCACTACATTCTATTCATTTTATCTGCTTAGGAAATGAGATTTTCAGACCAAACACTGTTTTCTCCATCAGGATGCTGAATCCCAACAGAGGCTTCTGGATGCTACTTATAAATCACAGGCAGCCTGCATTGTGTGTTGTTGATCTATGGAAATATTGCTGAGTGCCAGAAGAATTTGAATTTGTTCTGGGGTTTCAGGAAGAACATGTGATTAGCTAACTTCCCTGTTGTGCTGGTGGGTACATCCAGGTTGGAGAGCTTCATTCCCCTGTGGTGGCACTGGTTTGGTAGGAACATTTCCAGTGCAGGTGTCAGGACAGAGGGAATGGGATGGAGGGTTTGCTTTTTAAAAAATATATCATTGCCATGAAGTTTTCTATTTTCTGTTGCACACAGGCTGGGTTTCTAGAGCAGCAGGGGTTGCTGTGCCCAGTGCTGGCTGCTCAGCAGCAGTGCAGGCTGTTCCTGTGAACAGGCAAGAGGAAGGCACTGAGAAAATAACAGCAGGGCACAGATTCTCTTCCCTGCCCTCATCTCAGGACAATTGGAAACCTTTTCCAGTTTTCTTTTAGAGACCATCCTGCAGCCAGCCCCTGTTCCTCAAGGCTGGATGTGAACAGGGTGGGCTGGTGGGCAGCCCTCACATGTTCCCTCTTCCTTCCATGCTCCCCTCCCCTAGAACTAGACTGATTCATTTTCTTTCACTGAGGAGCAGAAATCATTTTTACAGACAGCCCCATCAAGTTTTTACACTGGATGTGTGATGGAAAAATTACAGTTATACCCCCTCTTGGCAACTGTGAAAGGAAAGCAAGCCTTTCTTGAGGCAGGTTAACTTGCTTAGGGTTGGCCTAGAAGAATCCTAAATCAAGGCTAAATTCCTCCAAAATAGGGAATTTCTTCTGTGACTACCTTTTCAGCTCCTGCTTGATATTTCTGTACCTCCTCATTACAGATGTGGAAAAATGTCCTTTGTTACTGCAGTATGGAACACCATGGTGCCTTTTTGGTGTGGGAAGCTCAGTGGGAGCCCTGCCTCTCTCACTGAGAGTGTTCTCTGATGTTAAACAGCCAGGACTGGTACAGATCTGTGCCAGCCACAGCCAGAGAGGGGCACAGCACAGGGCCCCTGGGCGTGCTGGGCTGGGCACTGGCTGGAGAAGGATGGAGCTGGGATAGGGTCGGGGTCAGGATGAGGGTGAGGGTCAGGGAGCTGCTGGTGCTCACAATTCAGGGCAAGCAGCTCTCAGCTCTCACAGTGACCAGCATACAGGGCTGGCTCTGGCCCCTGTGCTGCATTTCCCTGCTCTGTGGCACTCACAGTCCCCCTCCTGGTAAAGCCTGACTTTCTGCTCTCCCCACCTCCCTGCCCCAGTCCTGCACATAGTTTGGAACCTTAGGAATATTCCCTGGGAGCTCCAGGAGTGCACTCCTTGCCCTCTCTCTTGTTTACTGCTTGCTAATTAAATTTTGTAGGTGGCAGTTTGGAATCTTAGTGGGACGTGTCATGTGGCTGCTAATGCTCTGCAGATCTCCATTACATAACCTTTAAGTAGTTTGGGAAAATGTGCTTGTGTCATACTGGGCCTGACATAAGGCTCTGTCTGAAGCCAGCGGCCTGATCAGGTTTTT